GAATCGTCACATATTTAAATCGATTTTCAACCGGCTTGCGGTTAAATGTTACATCCCTAATGATAACGGTTTTAAAAATCAAATACTGATATGTTTATACGATACATATGATAATTTCATAAATAATCCAGTACAATTTCTATATAGCTGAAATAAAAAACATAATAGTTGGATCACATTTACTGTTGCTCTGCCAAATTTTGCAGGTGAAGTCCATTCATTTCAATAGGTATCGGTGTGATTTGGAGTTTCACGCAACGGGCGAAAAAGTTCCCTATGCGGATTTAGTTCATGTTCAAATTGTTCATGCGAATTTGTGAATTTTAGTGCTGATAAACACATAACTGCTTGGTTTGAAAGCCACTTCTGTGTGAGCGGTGATTTACACATCGCTCGGCTATTGATAATGGACCCTTTCTTCTGCTTGCAAATTTTTGCCTAAATTTTATGAATATGACCACACCTTAACACCGACTGCCACCCATCATGGAAAAAAAAGACATGCTGCAACTGCTGCATAAAATCACGTTGTCAGAAATGGAAGATGAAAACGAGACTCTACAAAAACATAAAATAAAAATTATTTAGATATATCATTACTGTGAATTCTGACATGATAGACATGATAACCATGTAGCGAAAATGTGATATTGTGAGACACATTTTTAATACTTCTGTTCATATATTTTTAAATTTCACCGCAAATCTTTTGTTGCCCCATATAATCATTTACACATCTCATTCCCAAAACATTCTGCATTTTTGATGTGACTTTCCAATAATACTTCACAAAATTTATCTTTTATTCTGCCTGCCTATTTACACAATTAAACATGTGGTGAATACTTTCTCATACGCAGCTGCATTATGGGCCATTAAAGTGTCGCGCCTGTGATTCGTGAGGCAAGAAATCTTAATGCAAGAGTGAAAACTGACATCCTGACTTTCAACAAAAATGAATAAATAATTTGCACAATACCCTCACTTCCACTGAGCACACAGCTCGCATGCTTTGGTCAAGTGGCACATGGTGAACAGATGGGAGGGTGGGATTGCAGGGATTGGGGGGCTTCTCCATGCGCTCAGTCAAACACTTGCTTAAGCCAAATTAACTCAGCGTCTCCCTTTCAATGTGATTTACAGCAGCCTGGTGCTTCTGAACTTCCCCTAACCCTTCTTCTATGACCAATACCCACGGCTTCCCACAGGAGTCATCAACCATGAAGGGAGCAAGGGGAAACCAAAGACCTCTTGTATATGAATATGAAAATTATCGATGCCCTCACAGTTTGTAGGACCTTTGGGGATTGAGTCATATGAACTCAACAGGGTCGACTGCCTGGCAGTTAAACTCTGAATTGGGATTATGGGAGGGGGGAGATCTACCTCAATATTCACAGTAAATACCCACAATAAAACAGGGAGGATGACTACAGACCATCATCTCTTATTCTTAGCATCATTATGGCGATAAGAACTGCTGACGGCATTTCTGCTGTCAGGAAAAAAAGCAGGGACTCGTGTATGAGCATGTATATTAATGCATAAATCAAATAGCTATACATTTCAAAGTACCAGAGCTGAGCGTATTAAGAAAAAAAATGGGAAGGTACAGAGAGAGCCTCATGTAAATCAGTGTATTATTGCAGGGTGTCCTGTTCCCAGCTGTTATCAATTACAGCCTCACTAGGTGAAATATATATATATATCACACGAGTATTTGTGTAAAACAAATAAACCAGATTAAATGAGTAAGGCAGAGCCAGCTGGTGGTTCATGTTATGAGGATCTTTTCAGATTGAGAAAGAATTTTTGCACATGCAAGCTGCAATGTGATATCTGATGTATGCATTTTGCATTATGATGGCTACTGTATCCATGAAAAGAAAAAAACATTTGTGCATTATAAAAAAAAAATTAAAAAAAAGGGCATACATTTACAATGTATCTAAAACTTCTTCTTTAAAGATGTTTGTCATGATGTTTGTTTATCTTTCAAGATGAAGCAACGGAGGTCTTGGAGATGCAAATAAAGTTATTTATTTATTTATTTCAGCAAAGTCACATTAAATTGATGTTTATAATGTCACAAAATAATGTAAAAAAAAAAAATGTTCCTCTGAACTTTCTATTCATTAAAGAATCCTGAACAACACGTATTACTGTTTGTACAACGATATTAAGAAGTACAACTGTTGTTGATATGAAAATAAAAATATATAATAATAAAAAGCATATTATAATGATTTCTGAAAGAAACATCACCATATGACACTGAAAACTGGAGTAATGATGCTGAAAATTCAGTTTTGCTGTCAAAATGTATTGAAATAGAAAGCAGTTATTTTAAATTGTAATAATATTTCACAATATTATTATATAATATGTTTTAATATATTTTAATACATATACAGTGTATATATATATATATATATATATATATATATATACACACAGTGGGGAAAAAAAGTATTTAGTCAGCCACCAATTGTGCAAGTTCTCCCACTTAAAAAGATGAGAGAGGCCTGTAATTTTCATCATAGGTATACCTCAACTATGAGAGACAAAATGAGAAAAAAAAATCCAGAAAATCACATTGTAGGATTTTTAAAGAATTTATTTGCAAATTATGGTGGAAAATAAGTATTTGGTCAATAACAAAATTTAATCTCAATACTTTGTTATATACGCTTTGTTGGCAATGACAGAGGTCAAATGTTTTCTGTAAGTCTTCACAAGGTTTTCACACACTGTTGCTGGTATTTTGGCCCATTCCTCCATGCAGATCTCCTCTAGAGCAGTAATGTTTTGGGGCTGTCGCTGGGCAACACGGATTTTCAACTCCCTCCAAAGATTTTCTATGGGGTTGAGATCTGGAGACTGGCTAGGCCACTCCAGGACCTTGAAATGCTTCTTACGAAGTCACTCCTTCGTTGCCCGGGCGGTGTGTTTTGGATCATTGTCATGCTGAAAGACCCAGCCACGTTTCATCTTCAATGCCCTTGCTGATGGAAGGAGGTTTTCACTCAAAATCTCATGATACATGGCCCCATTCATTCTTTCGTTTACACGGATCAGTCGTTCTGGTCCCTTTGCAGAAAAACAGCCCCAAAGCATGATGTTTCCACCCCCATGCTTCACAGTAGGTATGGTGTTCTTTGGATGCAACTCAGCATTCTTTCTCCTCCAAACACGACAAGTTGAGTTTTTACCAAAGAGT